AGATTCTGTATTTTTTTTTTTTTTTGAGCTCATGATTTTGATCCTACAGACTTAGGTTAATGTTTTTCTGATCAGTTCTATCTTTCACCAACTGTGGAGTTTTTGAAACATTGCAATGGAGATTTCACCTGCGAAAAGCTACAAGGCCTTTACTATTGTTATGTGTGCACACTTGTTTTATGTGTTGTATGTCTATATATACATATGTCCGTATATCATATATATGATATACAAATTAACATATATAAGGAGCGCTCATAAAAACAAATTTTAAAAAGTGGATCCAAAGATCTTTAATTCATGTGATTTAAATGGTTCAATTTAAATTGGATAAACAGATAAAAATAAATGTCTTTAAATTTAAGCTGACAAGTTTTTCTAGGTGTTCAAAAAAACTAATAAAATATTAATGTCTATAAAATATATAATATGTCTTGGTTCTAGGACTTTTCTTTCAACAAGAAAAAATGGTTAACACTGTTCAATACATTTGTCTAATATTTTGATAAATAAGTAAAGTAAATTTGATATGGGATTACTCATTCATGAGTACTTTTATTAGATATCTGATTGATTTACTATATAAGTTTGTTTTTATAATCAGTCATGTGTTTATTAAGTTTTATTTTTTTCTAGAGCAAGCAACCATAAAAATTAAACAACTAGTTAAATAAGAACTGTTATTTTAGAGCATTGAACTGCCATTTCTTTAAAAGCTAAACTTGGTTAATATAGAAACATCAATGTAATTGTGATGCTATTAATGTGCTCATATCTTCCAGGTATACAAGTCTATAAGGTAGAAGCTTTAAAGAGCATTATATCAAGCTGGTGTTCTAAAGTTGTTTGGTTAAAAAAAAATATATTGGGGATTTATTTACCTGTTATCAATAAGATATGTAAAGTTTTATGTTACTTTTTACATTGGGGAACAATTTAAATGTATTTTTAAGTGAATGAGAGTCTAATCTATGTAAAGGTTAAAAACTTTCAGCCTTTCTTTAATTCATGTTTTAAATGTGATATCATATGGTGTTAGCTAATGTTCATGTGACCTCAAACAATTTATGTAAACTTTGTAAAATGATATTTAAAAAGCAAAGATCAGCTTTAGATCTAGAACACTTAAGATTTATAAAGAGCCCTGCCTTACCTGAGATAAGGCTCTGTGTCCCATCTTACTACATGTGAGAATGACTACAAAAGCAGTAGGCCAGATTTTAGTTCATTTAAAGTTATGTTCAAAAGTTGTTTTTTTCTGTCAAGATTACTAGGATCTCAAACAGGGGATATAATGTATAACTCAGCCAAAATTCAGGGTAGCTATTACACAAACTAAATGTTTTTACTCTTGTTAATTTTATTTTGTAATTTCCTTATAAGTGATCTAAAGATTCCCTGTTAGTGTTTTACAGAAGTGTTGCTTTAAGAACACAACATGGGTTAATTTAAGATAATAAGCCATCACCTACAAGACAGGTAGGATAATACAGATCCCAATTAATAAAAAAAGATAAATAATTGTAAAGTTATAGTCATTAAAGCCCAGTACTCTTAATATAAGGCTGTTAAAATTTATTTGCTGGATGTTTAAGATTAAGTTTTAAAATTAAAGTTAAACGAAAAGGGCCAAGAAAACCAATATTTGGCTCTTGCCCTCTGAGTCAGTCTGAATCCAGGGAACAGGGGACCTCTCTAAAGAGCTTTGCAACTCTGGGCCACATAACCTCCCGATCAGGGAGATTAATGAGACCACTGGAGAACAGAAAGTCAATCAGTGCATTTGCTATGAAGAGGAGGGTCATCAGAGAAGGGAGACATCCCTGATGCTTCTGAGGGAAGCCACATGGTCAAGCAAGACCTGGACCTATCCTAGCACAAATGGCACGAGCAGAACTGAGAAGCTGCTCTCAAGTTTCCCCAGGAATGACTCCCATAAAAACTCAGCTGACTTTTAACAATAGATAGAAATAAAAGTCAGTTTGACTGCTTCATCTTAAACACTTAGCAAAGACAGTTAAAACCAAAACACAGCCATTCCTGGACATTTAAAATAATGATAATGATAATGATAATAATAATAATAATAATATTTTAAGGTATACACTTTATGTTAGCCTCTCAAAATAAGTAAGATTGGAGGCTACAAAGAAGGATTCTCAGACAGAAATGCCTGATAACTATAAAAAGAGACTATCAAGAGGAGCTGCCAGAGACAGTTTTTAGTTTAAGGCCTACAGATATTCCTAACCTGCACAGGTAGGCTTGGTGTTTGCTAGTATGATTATCTAGCCCTGAGTAACAGAATTAAAGGTTTCTCTATTAGACACAGAGGTCATACTAGTAAAAGGATTTTACATGATCAGATGATATTATTAAACTGTATCTTATGGAAAAGGACATCTGTAACACTAAAAGTTTAATGTTGTGTTTATATTCCTGATAACTTTAAAAATGTTAAAGATTTACATTTCTATATAAAGGCCTTGTCCACTCTGGCCTTATTATGGAGACAGCTTCTCCTGGTAAATATATATTATATATATATATATATACTAACTTCTCAGCCCTCACACCTCCTGATGAGGGAACTTCTATACAGCGACATGTTCCAGCTGCTGCAACATTTATTCAGTACTCATGGTTTTTGTTTCTCTCATAGAAGCACCCATCCCCAGATGACTTTACAACCTGTTCTTCCCCAACCAGACTTCAAATCGAACTGACTTCTAAAAGGAAACTCATGTCCCTCACGCCGTGCCCCCTCACGTCACCCCCTCTCAGCTCAGAAGAAGCCAAAACGAGTGATGCCCCTCTTCTTACAACAATGGAGCCAAAAATAAATAGACTGTCAATATAAATAATTAATTAAGTCAGGTCAAATCAGTTTTTGGTGAGTTCAAGAAAAGTTGGAGACTGTTACCTGAGGGATTAAAATTCCCTCAGTGCTCTTCCCCTACCCTATCAAAGATTTGAAAGGGACACATAAGAAAAGGGGGGAATGATAGACCCAACCTGATTTTCTCTCAAAATTGGGAGCCATCTCGCCACAAAGCCATGAAAAGCTGATTTCGGCTTTACTATAAATTACTGCAAATTCTGAACCTGCTTGGAATGCCTGCCCATGCCTTGAACTCACCCATGCCTGGCTCTCTGACCAGATAGCAGCCCTCTCTGAAACTTTAGTGACACCTCATAAATATTGGCCTTCCCTGGCCAGATAATGACCCTCTCTGAGGCTCTAATGGTCCTCTGATGTTGGGGCCAGCAAAAAATGTAAACCACCATTAGTGTGATGCTTGTCAGAGTTCTGTTATCTGTAACCCCACTTTGTGTAACTTTCTGGGCTCTAAAGCTGGGCTGCAGGAAAGCTGCTGCTGCTGTCTTGTTTCCCGTGGTTTTGGGTGGGAGAGGCAGCCAGGCCGGTCGAAATAATAAGCTTGCTTTAATTTGATTTTGATTGGAGTCAGTGGTCTTTTCTTGCGTCCTGGTCTAACAAGACCCTCTAACATTTTTTTTTTCTGTGTGTACATCTCAACTCAGCCTTCAAATCTACATTCAGCTCATGCTTTCCATTTCAACCATAGTAAAGTATCCATAAATGATTGTTGAGGAAATGAAAGAAAGACATGCTCTGCCCCATTTTCTCTAATGTCCCAACACCCATTCTTCTAGCATCTTTAAATTTTTGCAATTTGCTATGCAATGTACCAAAAATGTTCTCCCTGTTTGCTCCCAAGATGATACTTACCTTTCTATCTTATAATGCAGCAACAGTCACCTTTCAATGGCATATTCCTAAATTAGGCCTTGTTAATATGACTTTAAAAACCCAAAAACCCCTTAGTCTAGCTTCCAGAGATAAATATGCTGAGGTTCTAGTTATGCTTCTACTTCTTTGCCTTGTTTTCCCATTTAATTATATGTTCTCTGGGTCCAAAGATGGACTCTTAGTCCCATTTTGAGCATGTGGTATGTTGCACTTCTGATGACTCTGGCTGAACAAATACCTTAATACCACACAACTGTCTATTCCTTCCAACTTGCTTCAGCTCTGGTATTGTGGCTTTACAAGGCTCAGTTCCCCATGTGGTGAGCTATCAGCTAATCAGATCAAATAAGCTTCTAGGAAGCCAGCTAAGGTAATGTGTGAATTGTTCTTTGTAAGTGGAATGTGGCTGTAGGGCACAGCTGGGGTAGTGGTGGTGAATTGTAGTGCCTAGGAAGTTAATGTTTCAACATAAAACATCTATGTTTGATAATTGTGTAGGACTATCATTGTGTAAGTAAATAAAGCATGCCTCAATGTCAGATTGTTCCTAACTAGCCTTAACTTGGTGTGTTTGATCTTAATTATTAGCTTTTTCTGTAATTCCCTTAGCCCCTTAGCCTAGTGAGCAAAAATCACTCTAATAGGCCAGAAAGATAAATTACCCACTGAGCTTCTGATCTGCAGTTTTTACTGACATGACATCATTGGTAGAAACAAACTGTACTCAGAGAATATTCAGTTTTAAATCCCGTTATTTGGTTATATGACCTTGGGAAAGGTCATTACCCTTCTGTGGGTCTGAGGTCTAGCTATAAAATGCAAATAATAAATATCTCAGTGGATATTTTGTGATGATTAAAGGATTACATAAATGAGAATGATTTGTAAACTATAAAGTGCTCTAAAAATATGAAGGACTGGTATGATCGATTTTTAATCAGCTTCTATGAAATGGTATAGAACACTACCTACTCAGGCTAGGAAGTTCCTGAGAAAACAAAGAGAGCCAACTTGTACACTCAGGCTGCCCTCCCTCTCTGTTGGCCCTAGGTTTTACACAGAGCTGGCCCAACAAATCCCCCTTAGGGGAGTCAATGACTCTGAATGGGATCCAAGGGGCTTGGATGCAGGATAGGGGCCAGAACATTCCTAGATTAAGAAAACTATCTAACTGACAGTGAATATAAATGAGTAGAATCCTTAACTGACTTAAAGAGCTGGCTCCTACCCCTTGGGTGTTCTTCTTGGACACCTTAACTAATTTTGCTGGCTTCCATTCTTCATCGTTTTCATCTTCACCATCACCATCACCATCACCATCACCATCCTCATGTTCATGGATAATATTTAGATCCTTGATGTCCATGATTTGCTCTACGAACTTTTCTTTAACACGGGAAGGTTTTGGCTAAGAAAAAAGGTTTGAAGTGATTATTTAATAAAAATTAAATAATACATATGGTATCATATCTTCCCAGTAGCTGCTTCCAGCTATATTCTCACAGCAGAGATTTCAGACTCCTCAAATATATCCCACTTGTCTTTACCAATCAGAAAAAAAAATTGCTTTAGCCTTTGGCCTCACAGAGTCTTTGAAGGGATAGAAACTGGATGCTGATCAATCTGAGGGAGGAAGGGAGGACTCATGATGTGATGAGATAAGGATTTTTGGATGGACAGCTGAACATTGCTCTTTTTTCCTTCTCCTCCTCCTCAGTTGTATTACATAAAGCCAATTCATGGACAAAAGTCAGAATTCTTTTTTTTTTAAAATATTTTTCTTTAGTTGTAGATGGACACAATGACTTTATTTTATTTATTTATTTTTATGTGGTATTGAGGATTGAACCCAGTGACTCATGCATGTTAGGCGAGCACTCTACCATTGAGCCACAACACCAACCAAAAGTCAGACTTCTGAGGAAAAAACACACCTATTTTTCATAGGACTCTATAATTCTACTTAGGACTCTAAGAAAAACTGAGATTTAGAATTTGGGTATTTTAACTCTTAACCTTTTAAAAAAGGTAATTTTGCATACTCACCCTGAACTTGGGCTATGCAAAGTTATCGTAGGTATTAAGCATTTTACCTTGGGTGGGATATATTCAAAGGAAGAGTCCGGAGATAGAAGGTTATCCTTAGGAAGATGAGGTTTTGTTCTGCTGGCTACTTGGAGGAGGGTCAGTTTCTATTTGAAAAAGAGAGACAGAGAGTAAAATGTAGGCAGCTTCTAGGATTGCTCATGGCTAAAACACCAAAATTCCAAACATTTTTTTAAATGGTGCTGGGGATAGAACCCAAGACCAAGTGCATGCTACACAGTGCTCTACCACTGAGCTACATTCCCAGTTCAGCCAGCTCAATCTTAAACCACGGTAAAGTGAGGCAGGCTTAGAGTAGGTTCAAGGACTCCTACTTTCTAAGATTGTTATCTGATCAAAAAGGGGCATATTTTAAAACTTGTATTTTTACCACTTTGAAATGCACATGATTGGGTCACATGGAAACACAATGTAGACCTCAAAGAGTACAGCTAAATCACCAAATTAAGGGTTGTTCCTGAGTGGTGGCCTCAGTGGCAACCGGCTGTACCAGGGCCTTATCAAGTCGATGGGGAACTCTAATACCTGCTTCATGAGTTCATTCTCTTGGAGAAGCTGCTGATTTTGCTCACATACTTCTTGCATCTTCTTGAGTTCTTCATCCTATTTCCAGATAGTGTAGTGATAGGTGGGGTTATTTTAGGCACTACGTGTAGGTTACTAAACAACTCACTTAGATTAAAAAAAAAAAAAAAAATACTGCTGCCAAGTTCCTGGCAACAGATGGTTTTTGCATAGCAGGCACTGGCATCCAGAAAATTACCTTACTCCCAACTTCTAGGTGTCCTAAATACCTCTTTTTTAAGGGATTGGGGTGAACTCAGTGGCAGTCTAATACTGAGCTGCATCCCCAGCTCTTCATTTTTTATTTTGAGACAGGGTCTTGCTAAGATGTCTAGGCTGGCCTTGATCTTGTGATCCTCCCACATAGGCTTCCCAAATCGCTGGAATTACAACTGAATACCACTTCTATTCCAATGTTCCTCATCAGCACTAACCACACTTGTAGGAACTGTGGACTCAGTCTGAGAAGTCTTCCTTATTCTTTGCCATTCTTTAGCCTCATATTCTGTATTCACATCAGGATGCAGATTCAGAAATCCACAGAACTCGTTAGCTCTGTTTCCTGAAGCTACAAATGCTTCTATTCATCCTATTTAACATAGACTAGACAGTTTATTTCCAAGTCTCATAAGCCTTATTAAGCTTCCTGGTGCTTAATACAACTGGATCCATTACATATAACCTTAACAAGTTCGGTTACACCTTATGTGGGAGGTGCCAAGGAAACTCTAGGGATGGTATTGCAGGAGAAAGATTCTAAGTTGGACAAAAACAGTGCTCCAACTTGCTACTAAAGGGTGTGGTGTTCTTAGTCTCTGCAAGAAAATCCAGACCCCAGGCATTTTACAAACATGTCAGGTCTCAGCTCAGAAGAACAAGCTCAGGAAGATACAGTTGTCCCTAGGATTCTAAGTAACTATTAGATAATTTCACTGTCTCAGCTTTTTATAGTTCAGTGTTGACACAATAGAACCAGGAGGCCTCAAAGTCTGGTGTGGAGTATATATTGGTGTTATGGTACCAAAAACAAGGTGATCCTGCATATGGCTACATTCTGATTATCTCTCATCTAATCAAGTAGGGACAAAAAGCAGTAGAGGCTACCATTTTAAGCCTTTCCTCAGTAGTTCTTACTCTTTGCTGCAAGTACAATGGTCTAAATGAGACACGATTCTTGATGAGGCAATGTGAAACCCTCCTCTGGAGACCTTTCCTGTCTTCTCATACCTGACACTTCAGTGTGCTCAGCAGCTGCTGCTCCTTTTCACTGATTGACTCCTCCAGCTGCTTCTCTGCCACTTGGCTTTGCTGCAGCTTGCTAAGAAGGTACAGCACCTAGAGAAAGACACAATCCATAGTAGTATCAGAGGAACCAGGGGAAAGAAGGATTTTCACCTAGTCCAAGCAGTGATCCAGGTGACTCCTTCATGATTTAGAGGCAAACTGTTCTTTTTGCTCTATGGCTTGAATAGCAACAATGTTTCTCAGCACATTAATCTTGGGATTCAAGCCAGAAGCTAAGAGCCATTACCATGGGTAGGTATGAACTTAGGTATATCACTTTTCTCTGTTTCATGTTTCTCATTTGCAAAATTTAGAAAACAGCACATGCACTTTTAAAGGAAACTCATTAACCCCCACTACTTTTTTAAGCTAACTAAGGGCAATGACAGCTTTGTGTCTTAACTAGCTTCTTGGCTTGTCAGTGTACCTTCTCTTGGTGCTGTTGCTCCATTCTGACCAGCTCAGCTTGTAACTCTGTCTCTATCTCGGCAAAACGATTTCGTTCCTCATACAGCATCTTCTGCATGTCCACACAGCTGGCCTTGCTCTGTTTCAGGCTGCTTTCAAGCTTGCTGACCTGTATTTTGGAGGAGACCAGCTAGAAGAGATAAAAGAGATCAATTTATTTGGAGAATAACCCACCTTTCCCCATTCATTAGCAGGAACATATTAGCTTTCTTTAAATGGTCTGAGGAAAGTGTCTTCATGTGCAATTCCATTCTTATTTTTTCATGTCATATGGATTCTAACAGTGAATATTAATAGGACTATTGTTCTGCTCCTAGGCCAAGAGTCCATATTTCTGCTGTGACATGTATTTGAGTTCTGGAAGCAATAGCTAAATTCATTTTATATCTTGCTCTGCTTTAAGGTCCAAATAAACCTAACCTGAACAGTATATGATGATTCCAAAATTCTGATATTTAAGTCTGAAAATAAATTAACATGACACACCCTTATGTCCAATTCTGTCCTGTCTCAGAATGTCTGTGTTCACACGTCAGAACTTGTAGACACTTTAGCTGAAACTGCAGATCTGGCTCTTCAGGCTGGATTCATATCCTGTGCTGGCCTAGTTTTGCATTTACTACTAGCCTAGATGGTGAACATCATAAATACCAGCGTTCACAAACCTAATCAAGATTTCTTAGTAGAACAAATCTGCTAACCTAACACGAAAATGTGAAAGGGTAGCATTACTCTAACTTGTGGATTCAGATGGATTTTATGCTTGTCTTGAGTGAAAAATGCCTCAATCACTAGAGGTTATTAGTTTTCACTCCTCTTGTGACAATGGAAGATGATGTATTATTTTAAGGTCACTGAAGATAGCTTTTCCTTAAAATCAATCTTTATATGTCAAAAGATGTTTAGGTTTTCTCTTTTCAAGACTGTATTTTAAAGTTTTTGAATATACATCTCATAGGTCTTTTAACAAATAGTACAATATAATAATAGTTTATGTTTAGCCAGTAGCCCACTGTGGCATTCTGGCCTTTTTCTAAGAGCAACAATTAACACTTATTGAGCACTTGATTTATGCCAAGCATGATAAGTATCAATTTGAGTCATATTATATTTTTTGTAAATGACTGGCCTCTACTTGTTTATATCAACTTTTTTTTCAATTTTATTTATTTATTTAAATGTTGGGTGGGCCTTTATTTTGTTCACTTATTTATATGTGGTGCTGAGAATCAAACCCAGTGCCTCGCACATGCCAGGCAAGTGCTCTACCACTGAGCCACAACCCCAGCTCCTGCTTATATCAACTTAAAATTTTTTTTTAAGTTGTAGATGGACACAATACTTTCATTTTATTTATTTTTGTGTGGTGTTGAGGATCGAATACAGGGCATCACACATGCTAGGCAAGCACTCTGCCACTGAGCTACAGCCCCAGCCCGCTTATATCAACTTTTATGCAATAAACTCTCTAATGTTAGTATCACTGGGTTTTTCCATGAAAAGTGGTAAGAAGCTGGGCACAGTGGTGCATGCCTGTAATCCCAGTGGCTTGGGAGGCTGAGCAGGAGAATCATAAGTTCAAAGCCAGCCTCATCAACTTAGGGAAGCCCTGTCTCAAAAATAAAAAGGGCTAGGGAATGTGGCTCAGTGGTTAAGCACCCTTGGGTTCAATCCCTTGTACCGAGAGAGAGAGAGAGAGAGAGAGAGAGAGAGAGAGAGAGAGAGAGAGAACTTTAATATTTATTTTTTAGTTTTTGGCGGACACAACATCTTTGTTTGTATGTGGTGCTGAGGATTGAACCCGGGCTGCACGCATGCCAGGCGAGCACGCTACCACTTGAGACACATCCCCAGCCCCTTTCATTAGTTTTGAGACAGAGTCTTTTGCTAAGTTGCTGAAGCTGGCCTCCAACTTGTGACCCTCATGCCTCAGCCTCATGAGTCACTGGGATTACAGGCATGTGCCACCACACCTGGCTCCAAGGTATTTTATTTGAACCTACCTAACTAGATCCCTAATTGTTGGTAGTAAGAGTGATAGTTACCTCTCCAGTTAAATATTTCAGGGCACACTTGGCTTCCAGAATTGTAGCAATATTCTCCCAACGTTGTTTTGGCCTGTCTTCACTTTCTGCATCCAGTAGCTTCTGCTGTAGGTCAGCAATCTGAGCACTCCTTCACAAACAGAAACAGTCAGTTTTGTTGTGAATAGCTTCGATACCAGGAAGAAGGAGAACTCCGAGCAGAAACTTTAAAGTGGTTTATGAATGGAGATATCAGTTAAATAATGACTGAGTCATCTGGTTAGAATTTTACATAGTACCTAAAAATTGGTTACAAATGGACTCCAGGAGATTATCCAAATGGTTTTTACTTTATTAAATACTGGTTGAAATAAATAGGTCATATATACTGAGACTTGGAAAGATATATTATGGTAAGGCCTGTATTGTAATAGACTGACTGACTATACTATGACTTTGTCATGAAGCCCTATAAATTTGGACTGTGTAACAATAGCCCACCCATGGAAGGAAGAGATTCAGGTTGGAGACCTGAAGGAAAATCTCACAAGAATAGGTAGGTGTTCTTTGCTGGAATCAAATACCAAATTGATACCCATGGCTGGTGTTATAGGAAATTATTGTTTATTTTGGTACTGGGAGCACCAGGGGGCACTTTACCACTGAGCCACATCCTTAGTACTTTTTATTTTTTATTTTGATACAGCATCTCACTAAGTTGCTGAGGCTGGCCCTGAACTTGCAATTTTCCTGCCTCAGCCTCCAAAGTTGCTAGGATTATAGGCATGCACCATCATTTCCTATAATGAGAGATTATTTTAAAATGTCTTCCAAAGGACTGAGAAGTTTCTATGACTAGATACCCTGACCCTGGTTAGAAATTCCAGATACTTTCCAATCAAGTATGGCCTAGAACAAATTCTATATAATATTTCAGTTTTATTAATAACTTCATTTTCAAATATGCTGTTTCCAGTGAGAGGGAGAATACCAGCATGTGCTTAACTTGTGATACTATGTTAGATTCCTATAAGGAAGATGGGACAAAAGTAATCTAAGATGGTTTTTCTCATATTTGGTGGTCTCAGGACCCCATTCATTAAAAAAAACCAAAACACATTGAGAACTTCTAGAAATTCTGTTCATATAGGAACACCTATAGTTATTTATAGTATAAATTCAAACTGAGATGAATTTAAATATTAAATTCACTTAAACTTAAAAAATTCATTACATATAAACACTTTAGGAGAAATAGCTGTATTTTTCAAGACAGAAAAAGATTTAATGAGAAGAGTAAGATTATTTTCCATTTTCACAGATCTCTGTATAATTTAGTAGAAGACAATTGGATTTTCACATCTCCCTCTACTCAATCTTTTGTGACATGTTGTTCCAGTTGATGTAAATAGAGACACTCTAACCTTACATGGATATGTAGTTTGAAAAGGGAGATGTATTTTGGTAGCCTTTTCAGATAATTGTGGATACAAGTAGTAGTTTCATAAAAGTTAGTCACAATGTGGAATCTAAAACTATTATTATTTTACTTTTATTTTTAAAAATTAAATTCATTTTCAGCTGCTACATAAAACATGAAATCTATACATATTAATGGGGTACCATGTGATGATATGATAATGCATATATTATATAATAATTAATTCAGGTTACACATAACTATTACTTCAAACATCTGTAATTTTTTATAGTGAAATCTTTCAAAATCCTGTCTTCCAGCTTTTTGAAATGTATAGTACATTATTGTTACATGAAGCCATCCTACTGTGCAATTGTACACCAGAGCTTCTTGCTCCTATCTAACTATAATTTAGTATCCATTGATCAAGTGAAACTATTATTAACTAATTTTTTATATTCTTATATATTAAAATCCATATGGTAGCTGGGCATGGTGGCACACACCTGTAATCCCAATGACTTAGGAGGCTGAGGCAGGAGGATCTTAAATTTGAGGCCAGCCTCTGCAATTTAGTGAGACCCCATGTCAAAGTAAAATATAAAAAGGATGGGATGTAGCTCAGTAATAAATCATCCCTGAGTTCAATGTCCACTATCAAAAGAAATCCATATGATGAGTTATTTTTTTTTTCTTGTGAATTCCCAGGACATAAAATATTTCCATACATGTATAGGAATGTGTGTTTAAACATATATAAATTTAGATATAGTCAGTCTCAAAAGTCAGGGCAGATATCCTTGGACAAAATTTGCACTTGAAAACAATATACATATTGTTAAAAAAATTGAAGATTGGGTTGTCCTTGAACAGTTTTGATTGTCTTCAGGGAAAGTCTGAGGCAGATGCTTTATAGCAAGTAATGGTGTGGGAGAGAAGAAAGTGGAGATGGGTTTAAGTTGGCCTGGCCAGAGCACAATCAAGTTGCCAATGCCTATGTTCTGTTTCCATGTGGTGAGAGCCAAATTAAAGATTCCTACTTGAGACAGTGTGGGACAAAAGTCTAGTCATAGTCTTTGGAGAAGACTCCAACATTTAAGAGGAAATTTGATTTCATGGCTCAGTGCTGCTGCTGAGGACAAAAATCAGGAACAAATGAGCAGATTATGAGCAATCAATGCAAAAAATATGTATTCATTTTAGGCCAGTATTTACATAGATGTTAATTGGTTTGGAATGGCTTGAAATGTAAATGGATATAGCTGAATTATAATAAAGTATCATATTTTGGTAGGCCAAACAAGCAAACAAATCCCATTAATCTATCTCTCAGTAGGAATGGATATTTTACCCATTTACTTTAACATGTTATTTTGACAATATTAATCCACTGAGTCATGCGATCCTCTGAATGTTAATACGTTTCATTATATAATATATTTAAACCATCACATTTGTTAGTATCACCACTGGTCTTACCAGAAAAGGTTTGCTTAAAAGCTCAAATTTTATCTTCAGTAACACCTACTGTCAGTTGTTTTCCTTAAAGTGATAGGCTCCCTCCATTCATTATTGAGAGCATCTCTGCCAAGTAACCAAGTCTGAATAACCATGGTTTGTCTGTCAGTTGTTCTTTCAAGTACACATGATGTGCCATGAAAAATAGGCCTATTGATCTCAAACCTCAAATAGCTCAGTGCTTTTCTTGAGATGACCATCACAATCAGCATGCAGCAGAGGTGCTTCCTGTTTTGTTATATAGATTATAAAAAAGATGCAAACTCAAGGGTCAAGATTTGATAAAATTAACAATTTTCCCTGATTTTATCAAAAGTCATGCTTAAAGTAAGAATGACTTTTTAAACAAATTTAAACTGGTAGTGTGTAGAGGTGCTGTGTAGAACAACTAATTGTTCAGGTTGGTGCCAATGCTTTCATTAAGTCTAAGGTATCAGTAATTTTTTGCAGTATTGCTTTTCTACAATTAGTGCAAAAATCAACATGGTAAAAATAGCAAATAATGCTTCACTATTATTATGAAAATAGTTTTGCCAACTTAGATTCCCTAAAAGGGTATGAGAGATCTTCAGACCACACTTTGAAAACCCTGATTCTCGAAGTCCTTTCCTTCAACAAATTTACAAACTCTCTTTAGATTGAAAACAAAACTAATAAACATAAGACAAATATTAAACTCAAAGATGTATCATTTTCATTGCATAATTGAGTATTGTAAGTTCTGAAAGGGTTTAGAGAAAAAGACTAGTGAAGGATGAAGAGTCAGGCTAGGCTTCTGGAATTGGTAGGGGAGAACATTTCAGTCATCATCTACATACACCCTCCTTTCCTTGTCTTCTTTGTTAATTCATGTCCCTTATCTCTTTCAAAATTTAGTTTAAGTCTCAACAACTTTAGGAAAATATCCTTGATTAAACTCACCTCTGTCTAATTCCTTTTATGTTGTACCTACTACCCTACATTTATATAATCATTTACTTATGCATATGGAGGAAAATGTTTTATAACCAGCATTTAAAAAGAAACAGTCCTGATTTGTAGCTTCTGCCTCTTTCTGTTGTGTAAATAGACTCAACATAGAAATTATAACCTATCAAGAATTTTCCACATTCCAGAAATCATTTTTAAATATTTTTTAGTTGTTGTTGATGTACCTTTATTTTTTATTTATTGATATGTGGAGCTGAGGATCAAATCCAGTGCCTCACACATTCCAGGCAAGTGCTCTGCCACTGAGCCACAATCCCAGCTCCTCCAGAAATCTTAACAAATGATTCAAGCACATGGCTGGGAGTAATTACATGATTTCTACTTTACAGCAAAGATAATGTCATCTATTCTTTTGGTATCTCTCAACTGCATCCAGTGTAGCCCAAAGCAGAAACTCAAATTGTTGAGTGACTTATAGATGTTTCCAAAGATAAACAACTAGTATATCTAGCTAAAATCAAATAAATGATCTCCAAGGTCTTTTGGACAAGAAAATTTCCTGTTTTTTGTACCAGGGATTGAACCTAGGGCACTTAACCCCTGAGCCACATCCCCAGCTATTTTTTTATATTTTGTTTTGAGTTGCTTAGAGCTTCGCTAAGTTGCTTAACTTCGCTAAGTTGCTTTGAACTTGTGATTCTCTTACCTCAGCCTCCTGAGCTGCTGGAATTATAGACATGTGCAACCACACCCAGCTATATTTCCTTTACTTTGTTTATTTATTTATAATGTGGTACTAGGGATTGAACCCAGTAACTCACACATGCTGAGTAAACACTCTACTACTGAGCTACAACCCAACCCATAAAATTCTACTATTTTAAGACACTATAAAATCTGTATTCCTTCCAGATTTCATAAACTGCTTAAAAGACAATAAGATTGATTATAAAGGCTATGTAGCATAATTTCTGGTCTTAGACTCAAGAGGGAATAAAGAGACTATTCATTGAGTACTTTTAAGATGCCACATTCTGTATCATACACTTTATTTACTAATCTCACTTAATGCTCATGATAACCTTACTTATGCATTATATACATATAGCAATTTTGCTGTTTTCCTCCTATGCTATTTCTCTTTTATGATAATTTCTGGGGTTTCTCTAAAATTCTGTTCTTAGTTCTACATTTCAGATACTACTACATCAAAAATTGTGGTGTACTGCAAACAGCACGGGCTTTGGAATTAGATAAGAGGGGGTTTTGAATCCTAGCTCTGTTGTATGCTAGTATTAATATCTTTAGCAAAATTCTTAAGCTCTTTGAACTTCATTTTAGATTTCTAGAGTGATAAGAATGATACTTACCTCATAGGGTATCCAAGGGACTGAATGAGAAAATTTATCTATCATGTCTAGTACAGCATCTGGTTCAATGTATTGTTACTGTCTCTTGTTTTTCTACCATCACAAAGCTTTTGAAAAACAAGCTTTTGAATCACTGGGTTGATAGGTTCTTATTTTTGATTCTAGGGATAAATTTTTATGCCTTGGAGATAGTCTTGTTACCTGAGTTCCATTTCAGTCTCCAGACTTTCAATCTGCTTTGTAATAGAATCCTCTGACTCTGAAACTTGACCACGTGTTTCAGCAAGTGAAAATGTGCGCCTCTGTAAAGAAGAATAGTAGGTATGAGGGAGAAGTTCTAAAAGGAAAAATAATCCTCCAAAGCCATGAGGATTTCTTGGGAACACATAATCTGATTATTGAGAACATTTTTTTCTTAAGGGCACTTACCCGGAGTTTAAGAGGAGGATTCTCCCCAGATTCCTTTTTTTCTTTGAGTTGAGCCACATCCTGAGCTAGGATCTTTCTATCTTCAAGAAGGTCATTTAGATGGCGTTTGGCTTCCTCAGTACTGACCATAACCTCAATTTCATTTCCAAGCCAATTCTAGAAGAAAAATCAGTGATGTCTTGGTTAGGGATGAGGAATCACTGATTCATGGGCAAGATTCAGTTCCAGATTTAATTTCATTTGGACAGAGCTCAAGTGACAGAGCTCAAGTAACTAGAAGTGAGATTTCTATTTCTATTACCTACATTTCACCAACAACACTTGTATGTCTCAAAGGGCATTAACAGCAATACCCTAAAAGATCACAAGAAAGAGGCTTTCTACAGAAAGCATTTTCCCAGATATCCTAGTATTTCTATTGTCCTGTCTTTACTTTCTACATTTTCTCCTAAACATTTATTCTTTGCCTTTAACTACTCATGATATAGAACTGAAGACAATTTATCTGTCTAATCTATCTATCTTTACTCTTACAGTACTGGGGATTAAACCCAGGGATGCTTTACCACTGAGCACCCCACTTTTTTTGGTACCAGGAATTGAACCCAGGGGTGTTTAACCACCGAGTCACATCCCCAGACATTTTTATTTTATTTTATTTATTTATTTTACTTTGTGACAGGGTCTTGCTAAGTTCCTTAGGGCCTTGCTAAGTTGCTGAGGCTGTTCTCAAACTTGTGATCCTCCTGCCTCAGTCTCCCAAGTCATTGGCATTACAGTATGCACCACCATGCAAGGCCCTTATTGTTGATAGCCACAGCCGAAGGGGCCCCAGCAAACTTCCAGCTGCCAGCAATCCAGCTGCCGGCTGATGATTGGCTCACAGCGGCCCCAGCAACATCTAGCTGATTGGCTCCTCGGCCCCAGCAACATCTAGCTGATTGGCTCCTCTGCGGTGATGCTCATTGGACTGTTTCCCTGCCCTTTCAGACCACGGAGCTGCTCATTGGGGGACTTTTTGGCTCTGCCCACGTGACCCAGCCAATCGGCCTCAAGAGCAGGAGGATTGGGGGAGGTGAAAAGAAGCTTGTGAGGGGAGAGACAGGCTTGTGGAAAGCCGGTGGTGGCAGTTGAGGCTCTGAGGATTTTTCCTGAGAGGCTGTTTTGTTTGGCGTGTTTGGTTCTAAAAATAAAGTTAGTTTCTTTTGACAAGTGGCTTCTGATTGTGCCCAGCCAGACTGCGGCATTTGGTGGCTCGCACGGGGAGCGACTGAGGGTAAGTGAACTGCTCACCCCGGAGGGCAGGGCGAGAGGATGGGTAGCCATTTTAAGATTCTTCTTTTGTTTCACTTTTGTTTTAAGTTGCCTGTCCCTGGAGATGTGTAAGATGGAAGAAAAACCGCTCACATCTGAGGAACAGATAGGGAGAAAGGACAGATGGACATTTCAGGAGGCTATTATAATGATTCTGTGTTGTTTCAATTTTGTTTCACTCTGTTTCAGTTTTGTTAGGCGTCATCTTGTTGGGTTGTATTATAGTAGAAATACGGGATCAGAAATTAGTAAAAAACAAACTGAAAGAGTGTTAAGTAAATTGTTAGAGGAAGGAGGCATCCCAGTAAAATCAATAGCAGTCAGGGCATACGTTGATACAATACAAAAATGTAGCCCATGGCTTTTTAAGGAGGAGTTGTTAAATATATCACAATGGAACCATCATGGTGAAGATTTAAAAAGAATAGAAAAGAAAAGCCCAGGGACTCTGCCAGTTGGCACATTGACATTGTGGGCGTTGGTGTCTTGTTTGCTTAGTCCAAAGCCTTCAGTTCAGACAATAGTAGAGGAAGGAGAAGACATAATGATTCAAGTAAAAGAGAAGGCCTCTCAAGCTAGTCAGACAGAGGAAAAGATTCAAGTAAAAGAGAAGGCCTCTCAAGTTAGTCAGACAGAGAAAGAAAGTGTAAAACAGAAAAAGCCATCAGGGGGAAAGTTACAACAGGAGACTGCTACTAACACCTTTCTATCACCAGAGGACGTAAGTGTCCAACTAACAAGGCCACCTCCATATGCTGGGAGGTCCCCAACCCCCGCAGTTGATAGTTGGGCTCCTGAGACAAGATCTCAAATATTAACATGCCCTGTATTTGAGGCAGGAGGGCAGCGATTTTACCAAGTTTTAAATTTCAAAACAGTGAAGCAGCTAAAAGAGGCTGTAACAACCTATGGTCCTCAAGCACCCTTCACTGTAAGCATGGTCGAATCCATTAACAACTTGAACATGACGCCAGCAGATTGGGCTAATATGTGTAAAGCTGTGCTAAATGGAGGACAATACCTGTTATGGAAGGTTGCCAATGAGGAATTTTGCAAGGAGACGGCTAGGCGAAATGCAGCAGCTGGTTATCCTCAGAGAAATCTAGATATGTTGTTAGGAAAGGGACCTTATGAGGATCAGCAGCAACAAATTGCATATGATCCTGGTGTATACGCACAAATTGCTGCAGATGCAATTAAGGCATGGAAGACTTTACAAGGACATGGAGGTTTACAAAGTCAATTATCTAAGGTAATACAAGGAGCTAATGAACCTTATGCTGAATTTGTAGATAGGCTTATTCAAACAGCCACCAGAGTTTTTGGGAATACAGAACAAGCAATGCCATTACTAAAACACCTGGCTTATGAGCAAGCGAATCGTTGGTGCAGAGATATCATTAGACCATGGAAACATGAAGATTTAAACACATATATTAAATTATGTAGAGACATTAATGAACAAGAGCAAGTCGTGGCAGCTGCAGTAAAACAGGCTTTAGATGCCAGAGACATTAACGAACAAGGGCAAATTGTGCCTGCTGCAGTAAAACAGGCTTTAGATGCCAGGCCAAGAACATGCTACAATTGTGAACAAACAGGACATTTTAAAAGGAATTGCCCCATTGGAGGAGGGTTTAACAAAACTAGGTATCAAAGGAGTAGAATACCAGGTATTTGCCCACGATGCCGTAGAGGGAGACATTGGGCTAATGAATGCCGTTCTCAAACCACCATAGAGGGTACTCCATTATCAAAAAACGAACAAGGACCAGGTGTTTATCCACGATATCGTGGAGAAAGGCATTGGGCTCCATTGCCAAAAAATGGACACGGGGGCCCAATGCTCCGGGGCCCAAAACCACAAATATACGGAGCACTGGAGGAACCCAGCAACCCCATCAGGGTAGTGCCCAGGACACATTGTCCATCAGATCCCTCATCAGACAAACCAGAGGGAGCGCAGGGTTGGACATCTGTGCCTCCGCCAGAGCAGTACTAACTCCAGAGATGGGAGTTCAAATCATTCCCACAGGGGTGAAAGGACCTCTTCCCAAAGGAACAGTAGGCTTATTATTGGGACGCAGCTCTTCTACTCTAAAAGGACTTATGATAAGTCCTGGGGTAATTGATCCCGATTATGAAGGTGAAATAAAAATTATAGCCAGTTCTCCAAAGGGTATATCAGTAATTTCACCAGGAGATAGAATAGCACAGTTACTAATAATACCCAGCCTACATGATAAATTTTCCAGTCGTACTGTAGAAAGAGGTTCCAAGGGATTAGGCTCCACAGGTGTAGATTGGGCTATGCTTTCTTTAAATTTAGATTCTCGCCCCATGCTAAAACTAAATATTCAAGGACATGAATTTAATGGGCTACTGGATACAGGTGCAGACCTTAGCATCATCTCTCGTCAAGAATGGCCAAAACATTGGCCATTACAACAAGCCACTCAAACGCTTCGAGGCCTAGGAGTGGCGACTAATCCCCATAGAAGTGCAATGGTATTAGATTGGAAGGATCCTGAAGGATGTGAAGGAACTATACAGCCATATGTATTGGATCATCTTCCCGTAAATTTATGGGGACGAGATGTCCTAGATCAATTAGGTTTGACATTAACAAATAACATCAACCAAAATGCACCCACTATTATGACTAGACAAGGTTTTAGGAAAGGAAAAAGATTAGAAAAACAAGAACAAGGTATAGCAGCACCAATACAAATAGATCAAGGAACAGAAAGACATGGGTTGGATTTTCAGAAAGGGCCACTGAGACAATAAAAATTACTTGGAAATCAGAAAGACCAGTATGGGTTCCTCAGTGGCCCCTGACTAAAGAAAAGATACAAGCATCCCATGACCTGGTCAAACAACAATTAGCGGAAGGACATATACAACCTTCTGTATCTCCCCATAATACTCCCATTTTTGTCATCAAAAAGAAATCTGGTAAATGGAGATTATTGCAAGATTTAAGAGCCATTAATAATGAGATGGTTATTATGGGACCTGCTCAATCAGGGATTCCTCAGTTGTCTGCTTTGCCAAAAACCTGGTATGTTTTAGTTATAGATATTAAAGATTGTTTTTTTTCAATTCCAATTCATCCTGAGGATAGTCCACGTTTTGCATTTACTATCCCTGCACTGAATCATGAAGGTCCTGATCAGAGATATGAATGGAAAGTACTCCCTCAAGGGATGGCTAACAGCCCAACTATGTGTCAAATTTATGTTAACAAAGCAATCCAGCCACTTAGAAATCAAAATCCTGAACTACAAATATTTCACTATATGGATGATGTATTATTAGCACACAAAGATAAAAACACATTGCTAGAATGTTATGCCACACTTACAAACTTATTAAAAAATTATAATCTAGAGATAGCAATAGATAAAGTACAATTAAATTTTCCAATCAATTATTTAGGAGTTCTATTATCCTCAACCATGGTCCGTCCACCAAAAATTCAAATACGAGTAGATCAACTCAAATCACTTAATGACTTTCAAAAGTTATTAGGAGACATAAATTGGATAAGGCCTTATTTAGGTATACCAACAGGAGAGTTGGGACCTTTATTTGATATCCTAAAAGGTCCATCAGATCCAAATTCACCCCGAATGTTAACGCCTGAAGCAAGAAAGGCATTAAAAATCATTGAAACATATATGGAAAATATGCATTTGGATAGAATTGATATAAGTTTGCCTTTATTATTTATTGTACTACCAACAAAAAATATTCCTACAGGAGTATTTTGGCAAGAAGGTCCATTATTATGGATACATTTATCTTATTCTCCTAACACTATTCTTACTAGGTATCCT